AGCAGCTCAGGGCCAGCAGCTGGGCCTCCCGAGCCGCCTGCTGCATCCTGCAAGGGGCACACACAGCTGGCACCCCTGCGTGAGGGGAGCCAGCCTCCCTTCCCCACACACCCCCAAACTCCCTCCCAGGCACACAAGCACTGCGGGGTTTGCTGAACTCTGAGCCGTCAGCGCCACAGGTAACTGGGAGCCTAAAGGTTCATGTTTGTGAAAAACGTGGGGATGAGAATGAAGGCTCGCACGTGACAAGAAGAGTTTGCAATTCAGTACCTTTATCAAAATTAAAGGTAGTGGAATTGGTGCTATAATTAACAAACAACCCCTCAGCAGCTGAGAAAGGCAGAAAGAGCCCCTGCACAGTTTGCAGCCCACTGCAGCACCAGGAACCTGAGTCTGACCTGCAGATGGTGCTAAGGGAAAAATGTACCCAAAGGGTTTTCCCACAGCAGTCACTGCAATAACCCTGCATCCTTGACTCTCTCTTAAACCCTGACTTCACTCCATATTAATGTATATTTCCCTTTTTGCCCCAGTTTTACCTGTTTGCACAAGAGAAACCAATCTGTGTGGAAATGATGGAGAGAAACAGTGACTAATACACAAACCAGACAGAAACAAAGTGTTTTTTTCTAATTCCCACACTAAACAGCAAATTTCAGTATTCAAGCAAGATGTGTCAGTTGACTGAACACCTGATTTCGAAGCTTCAGCCAGGGCATTTAATTCCATCAACCTCCAGTGCACTTCTTGCCTTACTAGTTAAACTGAAGAAGTATCACCACTAGGAAATGTCACAGAAAAGGGGGCATCATGCTCCTACAAAGTCAACTAGGGGCTCAATTTCCTAAAAGAAGAGCCCACCCACGTTTGACCAAACTGGGGATTCTTTTCCTCACTTCCCTTGTGCAGATTTCTTGAGCTAACTCCCAAACCAAGCTCACCTCCTTTTAGCGCTATCTGATTTCTAACCCTTGGGAGCCCCCAGTTCCCTGCTGGGGACACTCAGTGCTGCTGGGGAGGATGCAGGGGCTCCCTGCCCTGCTGGGGAGGACGCAGGGGCCCCCTGCCCTGCTGGGGACACTCACAGCAGCCTGGGGGCTTTGCTCCTGGCCAGCTGCTGGCCCAGGAAGGTGCCGAAGGCGAAGGCGGGCCGGCCGTGGCGCAGGTAGAACAGGAAATGCAGCCTCTCCTGCACGGCGTGCCTGCTCACCAGCGCGGGGCTGGAGAAGTGGGGCAGCTGGCTCCAGGCATCTGCAACACACAGCAGCACTGTCAGGGACACTGAGGGCACGGCAGCAGCAGGGCTCAGCTGCAGAGCCTCGGGGAGAGCCAAACGCGGCCCTCTGGCTCCAGGTCACATCCAAAACCACTGTGAAATCCCACTCCTCACTGGGAAAACAGAGCTCTATCACCTCAGCCTGCTTGGAAAAGAAAATAACGGTTTACTGGCTTATATTTAGATAATTTTCTATCTTCTATTTTAGATAATTTTTCTATATTTAGAAAAAGTTCTGCCTGTGAAGAGCTGAACGCGAAAATCCAGAATTCTAGTTCAAAACAGAATTTCAGTAGATTACACTATTTTCTTTGTGAAAGAAATGGCCTTTTGAATAAATTTATCTGCCAAACAATTCCCCTGGAAAGTAATTTACTTTAGGTGCTCAGGCTAGGAAAGCATGTAGGCCTTGGCAAGGGACATACCTGACACAGCCAGAGTGTTTGTTGACTGCCAGCCAAACAATTTTGTGGGATCAAAGGGCATTAATGACTGAAAGATCAGAAACAAAATTAATTGAGGCAGCTTAAGAATTTCACATCACTGTCCTGTAACTCTCGATTTCTAATTCTCATACAGTTACAAACATTATAAAATTGAAATGTTGCAATTTCTGCACTATTAAACACCTTGCCCACTGAACACTGCGAGAACTCCCCTCTGACATTCCAGCACTGCAAACCCACAGGGTGCAGAGACCACTTGAAAAAGCAGCTCAGGATGAAGCTGTGAACTTCAGCTGCACATCCAGGATCCCACAGAAACAACCCCTGGCCCCCATGCCCAGCTTTAGCTGCAAACAAACCCCTCTGTGCTGGTGCCCTGCCAAAAGCACCCTGGGTACCTGCAGGAGGTGGTACAGAGAGATGTCAGGAGGCAAAATCCCATGAGCAGTGCAGGAGGGAAAGAGAGCAGCCTTGAGCTTGGGGTAAGGGGTCAAGGCCATCTTCAAGAGCTGTGGATCAACTTTCTTCAGAGGTTTTTCTGTATCTTCATTCTGAAGGACCTACATTGCAAGCAAGCAAAATGAATTAGGAGGAAACTGCATACAATAACAACACAACAATTTTGGGGTGTCCCAATCTACCCCAATTTGACAACACAGAAAGTATCATCTTTTTTCCTGTAAAATGCTTTTAAGTTGTACGAGGGCCACGTGCCCCAGCACCTGCTGCTGCAGTGACTGTGCTGTGGATGGTGACACTCTGGTCACCCCCTCTGCTCCAGCAGTTTTCTATCAAAGGGGACACTTTTCTGTCTCAGCCACGAGTGCAGCAGCAGGACAGGGGGTCAGGGGCTCAGGCAGTACCTGGTCAATGCCCCCAGGCCCATAGACTGTGGTGGCCAGGGCCAGCAGGGTCCTGCCCTCCAGCAGGATGCTGCTCACACCCCCCTGGCTGCTGGGGATCAGCATCTGAGCGTTGGCCAGGCTGGCCTGGAAAATCATCTTGGGATCTTCAAAGGAAAAGAAGTGACATTTAATTCCATGTAAAACCAGCGTTAAACCATCAATCACACGTTACAGCTGTCCTCTGACTGTGAAAAATGCTGAATTTTCTACTTTTTGTTGTCCATACTGGTTTCCCTCACTTTGCCTATAAACACAGAGAAGATAAGTTCAGGTTTACCAAGCTTTGCCCACACAGATAGGCTGGGCTTGAGCCCCACAGTTTAGCACTGGAGTGGTTTAACTCTTTATCCTGCACTGAGCATTCTTTCACTTCGGATTAGTTTTGCCTTTTGTTGATGTGTGACTCTGCAGAAGATGGAATGTTTCAAAAGTGCAAGGAGTTAGGGGCACAAACTCTACTGGTTTTCAGTAAAGCAAACACACAATCCAAGGGCAGGGAAATCAAAATGCACCACAGGGACTAGAGGAAGGTTTAATTTTCATGGGATGTGTGTTTTCCTATGAATTTTCCTTCTGCTGGACCTGTTGGCAATGTAACCGAGCTGGAGGGAAGGATGGTCACACACAGAGTGATTCTCACTCCTGTGCAATCTGCAGGTCTGTGAGCACAGCTCCAGCAGGAACCACCCCAGATTTCAGAGCTGAGGAGGTGATGGATGGACAGGGGCTTTGCAGCAGAGCAGAGGGTCAATCCAGCTGTGCCCAGGGCAGGGCAGGGACATCAGCTCCCTCTGAGCAATTCCTACCTCGGGGATTGCTGGCAACCCCTCTGCACTGCACCAGGAACTCAAACCAGGGATGTGCTTCCTGCAGCTCCTTGTTACCCAGGACAGGGCAGTTTGCAGGGGTTAAACTGCAAATAAATGAGCAGCACAGTGAAAATACAGCATTGGTAACCACTGCTGTGACACAGCATTAAAGGCTGGAGCACCTCATGGGCGTTAATGCCAAATACAAGTGGTTAGACAAACAACCAGGAAATTATGAACTGGCTTTCCTTCTGGTCCACTTCTAGATCTCTGCTAATTTCAGTGTTAGACTGGAGTTGGAGCTCAGAAATTTTAATTGCCAAGTATCCATTAAGTGGGAAGCATTCATATAGCTCCAATAGCTACTACTGGTACCACCTTCAAACCCCAGCTAACCCTAGATTAGCTGGAAATCAGCAATTTCCTTATCTGTGAACATATCAGCAGTCAGCTCACACTTGTGCTCAAGAGTTTCTGTAAATTCTGAGTTTCTGAAGAGCAGCTTGTCTTGGCTCATTTAGGATTGTACTGCTTATAGCATTATACTAATTATAGATGTAATTGTTTCTTTCATGACTGACACACAAATTAATACTAAGACAATCTGAACAAAGCTTCAAAATACAGCTTAAAATCTCACATATTGCCCCAGAGTTTCTGGGGAATGACACTGCCAGGGCTGAGGAAAACTCTCCCCACCAACTGTTCAAATTGTGTTTCCTTTGTTAACTCTGGGATCCCTTGTGGGGTGTGAGGGATGGGAAGCACTCCTACCTGTAATAGTCCAGGTAAGTGTAGAGCAGGTACTGCAGGCTGTGCTCCAGGCAGTGCAGGACAAACTGAGCGTGGAAGTCCAGGCCACTGGCAGAGCTGTATTTTGGAACAGGGTGAGGATTCTGCAGGACTCCTCCCAGGCACGACAACCTCTGGAGCAGCAGCTCAAAATCTTCCAGCTCAGAAGGGACAAAAATTCCCTTTCTGTCAGGAAAAAGCACACACACTGATCACACAGCTCTCTTTGACAAGCTCTATGGGCATTCCCAGCTCGGAATTAGAGCAGACCTTTCCCTCCCAGGGATTAATTCCCTGCAGAGGCAAACACAGAGTGCCAGAATCCACCTGCCTGTGCCCCAACAACACTGTGGCTACTGCAGGGCACTGCCCAGAGCAGGGAAATGCTCAGCATTCCCTCCCTGGCATTAAAGTGGGCTTCAGCAATATAACCCCTGACACATCCAAGGGCTGAGGGAGGAGTGCTCCTGCTCTCCTGGCTTTTACTGTTGGCAGATAACTGAAAGCAGGAGACTAAAATCCCATTTATCAATGGATTTGTGCTGTTTCCAAAAAGAGCAGTATAAAAGCTAATATGTACCAAGGATTTTATGTCTGATTTTGGTTTCACACAGGAAGGAGAGAGAGCGTGAAGCCTTGGGGGCCCTACCTGGCCAGCTTGTTGAGGATGTCCTGTCTCATGTAGGGGCTGCACAGAGTGCTCCTGTCCACAATGTCAGGGCTCAGGGGGGGCCAGGCAGCGCTGCCACACGGAGCCTGGCTGGGCTCTGACTCCTCAATCCAGGAACAAATCCTCAGCCAGTCATGCTGGGCTGTCGCGTGCATCCAGAGCACCTCAGCACTGCAGCTCTTGAGCTCTGTGTTTCAAAAAGGCAAATGGATGGAACCAGCACACACAAACACTCCTGAGGGAAATGCTGGTGTTCTCTTACACAGAACTGTGCAATGGTTTGGGCTGGGACCTTAAAGAGCATCCAGTTCCTTGGGCAGGGACACCTCCCACTGTCCCAGGTGGTTCCAAACCCCATCCAACCTGACCTTGGGCACTGCCAGGGCTCCAGGGGCAGCCCTACAGCCACAGCTGCTCTGGGCACCTGTGCCAGGGCCTGCCCACCCTCCCAGGGAACAATTCCCAATTCCCAATATCCCATCCAGCCCTGCCCTCTGACAGTGGGAGCCATCCCCTGTGTCCTGCCCCTCCAGGTATCTATTCTTAATGAACAGTAGCCATGGGATCAAGGGTGTTGTTCCAGGTTTTGGAGGCTCATGTTGGCAGAACTGGAAGCAGCTTCCCAGGACAGAGGGTGGCAGAGGGTGGCATTCACACGAGGCAAATCCCTTCCAGCTAACTCCAAACCCCTCTCCACAGGGAGAGCCCAGACCCAGGATGGAACAGGGTGAACCCCATCAGGGTGAGCCCCACCAGGATGGAACAGGGTGAAACCCACCAGGGTGGAACAGGGTGAAACCCCACCAGGATGGAACAGGGTGAAACCCCACCAGGATGAAACAGGGTGAGTCCCACCAGAATGGAACAGGGTGAGCCCCACCAGGGTGGAATAGGGTGAGCCCCACCAGGGTGGAACAGGGTGAGCCCCACCAGGGTGGAACAGGGTGAGTCCCACCAGGGTGGAACAGGGTGAAACCCCACCTGGATGGAACAGGGTGAGCCCCACCAGGATGGAACAGGGTGACATCCCACCAGGGTGGAACAGGGTGAAACCCCACCAGGGTGGAACAGGGTGAAACCCCACCAGGGTGGAACAGGGTGAAACCCCACCAGGGTGGAACAGGGTGAAACCCCACCAGGATGGAACAGGGTGAAACCCCACCAGGATGGAACGGGGTGAAACCCCACCAGGATGGAACGGGGTGAAACCCCACCAGGATGGAACAGG